TAAAGCGTTCCTAGGTGAACATTCTCGTCTTTTATACTTCTAATTTTAACAATATTAGATCGTTTTCCAGACTCTTCTTGGTCACATTCAAGTTCTCAATTTTGTTTCTGAAAGTTTCTCCAGCGTTAAAATGGTTCCTAATCTCAGTGAGATTGCTCATAAAAAGGAATCATCACTGGACTAGCGTATATCCTCATAACATACTTTTCCTGTGATTTTTGAAAAAATCTGATATCAAATTCGAGTTCAGCGACCCAAAAAACCCCCGCAAACCAAAACTTGGTGATTTTCGTTCGGATTTAGCCGAGATATCAATTATTCTCGCGCAACCGGCACCTCTGGCCCACAGTGGAATGGTCAGAAAAAAAGAATGTCTGGGTTTAGACATTAGACTTGTAAAACTGATTAGGTATCAGAATGCCCTTTAAATGAACCGATAGGCCGTGGCTTCAGGTTGTAAAACACGATGAAAATTATTGTTAAATGCTTGGTTGAAGTCGAAAATGGATTTAAATTAATTAAAATTAAGAGATTTCGAGTTGTTTGGATCATTTGTGTTATCAATCTTCGTTTGTTTATACGACCCACACACGTCAGAGGCAGAGGTACCTCGCCGGCACGCCGGGTCAAAAGTGTGGCCACCGCCGGACGGAGAAAATGGGCGCCATTTTGAGATGGGCCAAGCGGCGCGCGTTTAAATGGGAGCCCAAAATACGGACTTTTGGACTCGTATTTGGTGGGTTAATATTGCTCAAAAAAATCGGGGAAAATTCCTGTGAACTATGTGCACTCTCTAGTTTCCAAAAATGCAAGAATTACGAATTACTGAACAAGCTCATTCTTCATTATGAAAAACACAAATGAAGCACTCATTTGCTACATCTTTAACGGGTTGGCTGGTATTGGCTGCACTGCTGCAAGATTGCTCTGTCGTTTTGAATCCATTCTTCTGGAAACTGAATAATTTTCTGGATTAATCGTTTCTTTCCTCTTTTATATCCATAAGAACTGTGATTTAAAGTGCGAAGTCAGTGTTAGTCATTTTATTTTCTTGAACGATAGTTCCACTGAACACTGAACTTTATTTTTGTGTTGTTTATGTTTCGTTGTCTCCGTTTCTCCTCAAGAATCTTAGAATTGCTAAGATTTTTAAGGATCGCAGTCTTCACTGTGTGGCATTATTCGTGTCTTATTTAATCGAAGATGCCTCTCAGTGTTGACAAGCGATTCTGAATATGTTCATCACATATCATTGAGGAGTTCCAATTAAGTTTCAACAAACACGATAAAAATGGTATTTACAGAATCAGATCGTTGAGTAACAGGTGGCGCAGCCACCAAGATGCCGGCGCGAAAGTCCCGTGCGGTCCCCGCACCAATCCGCGAAGCGGATAGGGGGGCGAAGCCCCCCGAATGCCGGCGCGTAGCGCCGGTACGCGGCGCGAAGCGCCGCGCATAAATTGGCCGGAGGCCAATTTTTTCCATACAACTCACAGTTATTGCATGTCTCAATTGAGACATGCAGTTTAAATTGGACGTTGTTCAGCAGATTGGAACTATCCACAGAAAGTATTTTTAAGGAACGTTTTTTTACCACATCGCCACATTGTACCATATAGGGTGTCCCAGACCACTCGTGCCAGGCGTTTTTCTCTGTTGCTTATATCCCCCAGAGGCCTCAATAATGGGGGACAAGAGGGACTCTACACTGACTAATTACGATTTCAGCCCGCTTTTCCTCCCCCTTCCCAAAGCCTCTAGGGGTCATAGGACCATCTTTAGATTTCTTGGGGGTCGATTATCTCAGAATACATCATTTTTCCAAGCCTGTTTACGTCAGTTAAGTGAGCCAGCATTATTTGAAGGGGGTCTCTTGTCGTCTACCTTTTGGGGTCAGTACTTTGGGTGCGGATTGGCCGATTCAACTTTGCAGCGTCGATTCAGGTGATTTTCTATACATTTTGATTTCAAGAGAATAATTGCATATTTTTGACTTAAACACCGAATTTTCAAGCGAAGACTCCCTTTTATTGTCCTGAAGATGCTGATGGGCTCTGGGATCACGAAGTTTGGATTCTTTGGTAATCATCCCCGCTGTCCTCAACTTCATTCAACCTGAAACAGCCAATAAAAAGGCCATGTTCGGGTGGTCTGGGACGCTTTGTGTGTTGTTCCGCAAACCCTCTTTGTAGATAGGTCTGCTCTGCCTAGTAATATCCACTTGAAAGCTTGTTTTTCGAATCATCTGATTACTTTCTTTCCGTTTGTAGTCGTTTTCATGCTGCTTGGGTTCTGTTCTTTCGGAAAACAAGGTTTGTATACTTACCATTAAATATAAATCTTTTTATTTGAAGATTTGAGCTTCAAGTATGAACCACCTTTCTTTTGTTTCAATTTAGCCTCTTAAGAATTCTAAATTTACTTCTTTATCTCTGTAGTTTCCTCCATCACTGTACTATAAGATTCGGTAGTATTGAGTTTGATTTACATGTCTCTCAAAGCACCTTGGGAGTATGAAAATTTGACACAGGACGTATTTTCTTGTGCGTGTACAGTTCACACCATATGATAGTTTTCTCCTTCAATCTGGTGAAAGAGTGACCCTGAGAATGGCACAATTTGAGTCCGCAGGGATTTTTCTAAGGCCCTAACGATACCTTGTGATAACCTAAAACTCCGGTAAAAATTTTAGCTTGAGTATACGCACCGTTTAGTTTAGTAGTAAAGTTACCTAATCTCATCGCCTGCATTTTTTCAGCAAAGGGACGGGGAAAATGGACGAAAAAGTTACACCTTTCATGGGTTTTGGCTGTAAATTTTCTAATGGGGCCCCCATGCACATAACTGTGCTCAGTTTCAAAAATGTCGGCCACACAGTGGTCCAAAATGAGGAGAAATCGTGCACAAATCAGGATTCTTTGTCAAACTTTTTAAAAATGGAAGCAGAATTCTTGGTTTTCTGCAGAGTTCATGGCTAACAATGTTGCTTCTTATCGGTCCTCAATGCATTAAATTATGTTCAGCTTCACAAATTTTCATCGCACGGTGGTCCAAAATGGGGGAATTAATGGATAAATTAAGTTCCTTTGTCAAACTTTTCAAAAATGAAGTAACTGTTGGTTCTCTGCGGAGTTCAGATCCTGGATAAAGTCATGTATTTAATTTTTTTAAATTATTGTTATATGACAGTGTCAGTCCATATTGTTCACAGAACTTTGTTATAGGTTAGATTTTGTAGCATTATTTGTTTTTGCATTCCATTAAAAATAATGGGTAAGCATCCTCACCACGTCACGGTACTAATCATTGAAGAAGTTTTTGGTTAATTTTATCTTCATTTTGTCATTTATTTTTTTCTTTTCTTTTCTGTCTTCATACTTTTGCTGTTTTTTTAAGATTTTTTTGTTTTCAGTTTTTTGAATTTTTGTTTGTTTCCTGTTTCTTTTAATTATTTTTTTTTTTTTTGGTTTTTTAATTTATTTTTATTCTTGGGACATGAGGTGAATGCTGCCTTAAAAATTTTCTTAACTTTCGGGACTTTCTGTTAGTTTAATATTATTAAATTGAGGATTATATGTAGTGTGTAAGCAGTGCTACATGCCTAAAAATCACCGGTTTTCATCAAAATTATAGCTTTCATGGTAACTATAGCCGACTTAACAGTAATGGTTTGGTCGAGAAGACTTCCGCAAACAATTTGATGACAGTTTTGAAACTCTTGGTTCCATCTGGCGAGATAGACACTGCAAAAATACGTTGCCAAAATCAGCGACATTCTTTCTAATGACTTTTCTCGCTTAAAAATAAACATTTCAGTTCAAAATGTCACTTTTCTCGAACATCAGAGTCTCCTTGCGGCAAATATTGCCAAAGAATCCATGATCAGTACTGATTGACTAACGCAAGTTGCTCTTTTGCTTCAAAATCGGGGTTGGCGAAGCGTAACCGAAGGGACATTTTCGGCCTTTAAAAGTCTCTTACTATTAAATACAATCACAATTCATTAAACTTTTTAGCATGGATAAGTTCAGGGATATCATTCCTAATGATTCATCAACTTGGTATTCAATCGTTTTGCCCTAAGTCGTTAATAACCGACGGCGACACGACTATTCCTTTTATCGTGAAATCACCCATAAACGTACTTACTGTGATAAGAAGATTTGAGGATTCGATGGATTGGAGATGCGTTATAACAATAACACCCAGTAATCAGTTTATCTTGAGTCCACTGTGAAGATGACGGTTAATACACATCTACGGCAATCATCACTCTAAGCACCTCGCAGAGTGGAAATCAGCGTAGTAGCAATACGCGATTTGCGCGACTTTGTAAACGTGCTATCACATTTTTTCGGAAGAAAATAATATTAAACATCCCTTATCTTACAGTACCGTGATTTATCTACTCGCATGTACTTTTACCATGTGAATTCAGCTAAAAAATTGGGGAGTAGAATTCTGAACGATCGCTGTCGACAAGAGGGACGGATGAGGAGAGTGGGGAGAGGGAGATGGGTGAAAAATCAGCATTGAAGACTCGCGGTTCTGATCCACGGGCTGCTTCTTTTTGGACTTCAGATCACGGTCAATGTTAGAAAGTCACATCCCCGTGCGCAAATATCATGCCTAGAATCCGTAAGAATATGGGTTGTCAGAAAGAACAAGTTTCACATTTAATGACCTATCACTCCTGTATTTATTGTTTATTTCTTATGTCAATAAATGAAATTAAAAAGTTAAAAAAGAATCTACGCGTTTCGACGACTTTCTAAAATTCCATTTGTCCATATTTGTAGTAGAGTGTACCTTGGGGCAGGTCAAAATCCTTGGCAGGAAGGTAAAAATAGAGGGGCCTTTCGGGGAGGGGATGATCAAAATCCAGGGAAATATCTGAGGGGACGTTATATATCATGGTAGTCAAAATCCTCGGAGGAGGTAAAAATTTAGGGTACCATCGGTCGTAATCAGAGGGGAAATTAAAACCCGGGAAAAACTGTGGGCGATGAATATGTAGGAAAAATCTCGCAGGTGTTAAAAATGCCGGGAACAATGGGCCTGTTGCAAACTTTTGCTAGAGCAAAAATAAGAGTTGTTTCTTATAGATAATGCCTCAAAAATCACGATGAGCGCATCGGCAAAGTCTGAAATGCACTCATAACTTCACA